GTCTCCTTGAGCGGCCCTGTGCCCTCGTCCGGTCCCTAGGGCCTCGCAGCTTGCGGGCGCTTCCCTTGACCTCTGCGGTGCCCAGGGCGTCGGGCCCCAGCGGGGTCAGCTGGGGGTAGGGGAGGAAGAGCAGTGGGGTGGCGCGACGAGCGCCCTCTGGTGGCGGAGGCAAGACTGTCCGCTCTCCTGTCAGTCTGGGGGCCTGTAGTGGAGACTATTGTGAAGAACTTGTCACTTGTGCTCTCTCCCTCGCTTCCTCTCTCCCTCCTTCCTTCCCTCCCTCCCTCCCTCCTTTTCTCCCTACTCTACTCTTCCCTCCCCTTCCAGCCCTTGCCTACCACTCCTCAGGTGCCCTTGTCACATAGTAGGTGTGCAGTGGATATTTTGGAGTAAATGACTGCTGAAACTAGGAAGTATTTCCAGGCGTTCGGCTGCCTGTGAATGTTTACAACAACTCTGTTGTGTCCCCAAGCACTTTAACTGGCAGGGAGCGTGCTGAAACCAGTGTCTAAAGTCAGTTTCGGCGCTTTAGTGTGGGACCTTGGACATGTCACTTGAGTGTGTTTCCTGTGCAGTGTGCCTGTGTAATAAGAATTCCGTGAGGGTTCAAGGGTGGGATGTTTGCAGAAGTTCCCACATCTGTGAAATGTTAGGAAGGGCTGGTGACAGCAACACAGCTCCAAAGCTGTACTATACACTTGCTGGGTAGATGAAGTAGGTAGGATAGAAAATTGACTGAAAGATGGTGTTTCTCCCTTCTCTGGTAGCTCCTGAGTCCTCTACTGTGGCTTCCAAGAATATTTGGTTCAGTAATAGCAGAACTCCCAGGAGAAAAGGGTGGGCAGAACAAGGATGGTTTTGTAAGAGAACTGCAAAAGTTCTGCCGGGAAGAACAAACTAAAGGGAAGGCATTTCGTGTGGTAGGAGGGTGGGGGTTTGCTGTGCACGCCTGAGGACCTGAGTCTGATCCGTGACACCCATGTCTAAAGCCAGGCATGGTGATAAGTGACCCTCATGGAGCCTTAGAGCCAGGACACTGGCAGGAGGAGCTCTGGCACTTGCTGGCCAGCCATCTAGCCAAGTTAGCAGGTTACAGGGTCAGAGGGGAGCCCATCTCAGAAAAACCAAGCGGAGAGGATTGGCAAAGACAGTACACATGTACGGTATAGACATACACATGTCCAGCAGCACACGTATGCAAACGTGCACAAACACAAAAAGAAAAAACGACAGGGTTTCATTTCTCACAGCTGTTTACTTCTTTCATTTCCCCTTATGATGAGGGATGTCCTTCTATATATATGTTTCTCTTATTGGTTGATGAATAAGACACTATTTTGTCAATAGCCAGTAGAGGCAGGAAGATAGGTAGGACTAGGAGACGACGAGAATTCTGGGAAAGGTAGGCAGAGAGAGAGAGGCTCAGCAGAGAGACGCCACATAGCCGAAAAGGAGAAACAGGTCCGGAGGTTCTCCTGTAAGCCAAGACCACATGGAAACATACAGATTTATAGAAATGGGTTAATAATTAAGACAGAGCTAGCCAATAAGAAGCCCTAGCCTTCGGCCAACAATTTAATAATATAGTGTCTCTGTGTGTTTATTTGGGGTTGAAGTGGCAGTGGGACCTGGTGGGATAAGAAAACTACAGCAACACCCTTACCCTACACACACACACACACACACCATACAGCCTTGTTGCTCTAACTCCTGTCTCTTCAGCTAGCTCTCCTGTCTTGTCTGCCTTACTCTGTACTGTTAAAGTGGCCCCCCACTGCTTTCTCTGTCACTTTCCCTTCCTCTAGTCCTCTGTCTGCAAGTAGCCATAGGACACTGTGTTTTTTCTGTTTTGTGTTGTGTTTTCAGACATGATGAGCTCAGTGTACCCAAGCTGGCCTTGAACCCCCAATTCTGTTTGCATCCTTCTCCCAAGTGCTGGAATTATGGGCACAGAGAACCATCCATGGCTCAGAGAACTCTTCCAAAATAGTCTGTCAGTCTTGTTAGCATATGCCTGTAATCCCAGCACTTATGATCCCACACAGGAGGACCATGAGGTTGAGGCCACCTTGGGCCACATAGTGAGACCTCTTCCTCTTTCCCTCCACCTGCCTCCTCTCCTTCCCTCCCCCCTCCTCTTTCAGCTCTCTCACTCTTTCCCTCTCTCCTCTCTCTCCTTTCACCCCTTCCTCTCTCATGTCTCCTCTTTCTTTCCCTTTCTCCTCTCTTTCTCATTTTCTCATCTCTTCCTTTCTCTTCAGACTCTCTCGCTCTCTCTCTCTCCCTCCCTCTCTCACACACACACACACACACACACACACACACACACAGAGTTAAATACACATAGAGTTTAAATGTTTTGTATACAAGAGAACAACTACTTTAGAGCTAAGTTACTTCATCTTCCATCGTTGTTCATCTGTGTTTCCATAGCAGCTACCTCTGGTTGTGCTGGCTCTTTGTCTAGGTGTGCAGTGGCATCCCCATTGGCAGCTTGTCTTCTGCTGCTAAAGCCACATAACCATCTGCATCCAGGTTACTTCACATCTCTCTGTTCGAAAGAAAAATGGGTAAGCCAAATGTTCTCTTTGACTTGGGGCAGTACTCAGAACAAGAACTCCTGAGTGCATTGTGACACTTGGGTTCCTCATTTCTCCTTTGGCAGGGATTGAAAATTGTTGTTCTCTTTCACAATGGGCTTTGTCCACCAGAGTCATGTCTTCAGATTTTCCTCTCTCCTAAGCAACCTGGTCTCCCTCCCTCTGAGCACTGTAGAAAGCTCCAGAAGCTGACTGAAGCCCTTTCCCAGAAAGTTCACACAAAGAAAGCTGATGAGGACATTTTGCCTCTCTGCTTCTGAAGGATTTCCGTTGCCTGTGTTTATTTTTCCTCAGTGAGGCGAAGGGTTGTCTGTTCCATTCTCATTCACCACAGCTCTGTGTTATAGAAAACCAAGCTTGATGCTTGTAGCCAGCTGTACTTACCCTTGCTGTGTTCGAGTATGTATGTGTTCATGTGTGTTTGCATACATGTGGTGACTAGAGGCAGACCTCAGGTGTCTTCCTCAGTTGCTCTCCACTTTGTTTTTTGAGACAGTCTTTCGTTGTCTAGGCCAGCTTGCCAATGAGTTCTAGGCTCTTAGGATTGCCTGTCTCTGGCTCCCCAGAACTGGAATGGCCTGGATTTTATGTGGGTGCTGGGAATCTGAACTCAAGAGTTCTCATGCTTGTCTGGAAGGCACCTTCTAACTGAGCCATCTCCCTAGCCCCTTTCCTTGTTTTTCATAGTACTTAATAGAATCATAATTAGCTGCTGTATTATACATTTCATGATGATCTGCCCCAAGAATTCAGTTTACTATATTTCCAGTCCCTGATTCAGGGCAAGTATGCTGGCTAGTATGCTGACACAAGCTAAAGGCATTTTAGACGAGGGACTATCAGTTAAGAAAATGTTCCCACTGGATGACCTGTGAGCAAGCCTGTGGTACATTTTACATGATTAGTTATTGATGTGGAAGGGCCCAGATTCTTGTAGATGGTAGCACCCCCGAGCTGGTGATCTCAGGTGCTATAAGAAAGCAGGCTAAGCCTGGTGATGGTGGTGCATGCCTTTAATCCCAGCACTTGGGAGACAGAGACAGGCAGATCTCTGTGAGTTTGAGGGGTCAGCCTGGTCTACAGAGGGAGTTCTAGGACAGCTAGGGCTACATAGAGAAAAGCCCTGTCTTGAAAAACCAAAAAGAAAAAACAAGACAGAAAGAAAAGGAAAAAGGTAAGCAGGTTGAACCAGCCATGAGGAGCAAGCCAGTAAGCAGTACCTCTTCATGGCCTCTGCTTCATTTCCTGCTTCTCAGTTCCTACTCTAACTTACAGAAAAATGAACTGTGTGATATGGAATACCCCCAAGTTGCTTTTGGTCATGGTGTTTTATCACAGCAACAGAAACCTTAAGACAACCAGGTATGAAAAAGGTTTAAGCAATGAGTAGATACACAGAAAATGTAGCAGTGGTCTTACAGACTTTCCTATTGTAGTCCACAGTGTCTGCTTTTATTTTTTTTTTGTCTTTTTAATATGATGCTTTTTTAAAAGTACTGCTTTGAAACATATCCCAGTGGATTTTAGTTTTGCAAGATTGTGCAGACCAATGGGTAGAATCACTTAAAAATAATAAAGAGAAGTAAAACAACAACAACAACAACAACAAAAAGCCAACACATATTTCACACACACACACACACACACACACACACTCACACATGTACATAACTAGAAACAATAGAGGCCCTGGAGAGATGACTACATGTTTAAGAATGTTTTCTCCTCTTGCAGAAGACCCAAGGTTGGTTCACAGCACCCACATGGCAGCTCCAGGCACACACAAAATGCAAATACATACATACTGGCAAAACATTCATGCAGGCAAAATTAAATTTTTAAAAAATCAATAGAAATGAGACTTTAAAAGATCAGTAGCCAGGTAGTAGTGGCACTTGCCATTAATCCCAGCACTTGGGAGGCAGAGGCAGGAGGATGGCAGTGAGTTCCAGGACAGCCAGGGCTACACAGAAAAACCCTTGTCTCAAAAAACAAAA